TTCGAAACTTGATTCTTAAAAAAATTGATATAAAGTTGCTAATAAATAATATAAAGTAGCTAATTTTAATCTCTTTTAAGAAAACTTTGAAATTTATTAGTCAATTTTTGTACTTATAGTCGTCTCTAGCAAATCCTGCTTGTAACATTTCTTTTGCAGAAAGCCTCCGCACTGTTTTTTATTAGTAATCTAAGCAGACAATTTAAAAAAAATTAACCAGTTCTGTGCATGAACTAAAGTTTAATTTTAATAGTAATCGAAAGAAATTAATCATATATATTTGATAATTGAATTTGTCGTGGTTGACAGGTAAATAAAACAAACCAATTTTATTCATAAATTAAACAAACCTTAGACATATATTTGCTACCACTTTCTTATTTTTATAAAATTTTGTATTAATTGGCTCCTTCTCAATTACTTGGGAGCGAGTGATTCAAAAGAGCATTCGTACAAAATCAGGATCAAGACGTACTTCAGTAAAAAACGGTAAATTAAATGTTGCCGTTTCTAATTTGACAGACTTTGCTTATACTTTAATTATTGTTCGTTTAATCATACATATAATCAATCTTAATTCGAAGTTATAACTAAATACTTTTATTTTGAACAAAGTAATGGTGAATTAAATAAATCAAACAATTATAACTCCGCCCACAAATAAACTACTAAAGAATTACTTTGACTACCAGTTTTATCTTTTTACCCTGATTGATACGGTTTTATGCTGGCACGTATTTGTGACAGTCGGCGCGAAAGGGTTAAATTAGAACAGCCTTTTAATTATTTGATCAAACAACCTATGAGAAAACGTGTGGAGGCGCTGGTTAGTAACTATTAATTTTTTAAAGTGCTGCGTCCGGCCATCACACGGTCTTTTATAAGTAGTCCGCGCAGACTGTTCCAAAAGTGAATCAGTTGTGCGCATGAACCCAAAACCTTTTATAAAAGTAATTGGGAGAAATTTTTCTTATATATTTGAGAATTGAATCTGTAGTGGTTGACTAGTGAATAAGGCAAACTAATAATATTCATAAATAAAATAAATTTTTAGTCATATATTTGCTACCACTTTCTTATTTTAACTATATTCTATATTAAATGACTCGTTCGGTAAGCTGATATCCTTCATAGTGGTCTGATCGAACTACCTATAAAAAACCGTGTGGAGGCTTGTATGTAAAGATTTTTAAAGTGGGAGCAAAGCAGTGTTTAGTTACCCTAATCTGAGGACGTTGCATAGTAACTTTCAATTACTGAAGTGTTACGCTCGGCTGGTAGCAAAATTATGTTTAGTTTCCGATGTCATTTAATTACACTTAACTGAATTTGTTACATAGTAACTTTTCGTCACTAAGGTGCTATGTCCGGCCTGTAGGCTGACATTTTTAAAGATGGTAGCAAAAATATGCTTATTTTCCTAAGTTCTTTAGTTACACATATCTAATTAATTCTTTCGAATACTAAATAAATCTTTCAAATACTAAAACGTTAATTTCGATTTTTAGCCGGAGATATTTAAATTAGTAGCCAAATTTACGATTTAAAATTTGATTTCCAATGGTTCCTTACAATCACGACACATTAAATAAAAAATCAGTAGTGTACATAAAATCTGATTAGAAAAGCGGGATATTTTTTTTTTATCTGCCATTGAAAATCAAAAACATTATGTTTCTTAAACTTCCTCTTTAAATATTGTGGAGAACTGGTGTATGTTTTGATTGTCAGCTCTATCAATATGAAATGTATAATTTCTTTTAATTTGGTGTTTCATGTGATATTCATTACGAAATGTATAAAAAAAAACGTTTATCAGTTATTATTTTTGTCATGATTAGAGTTTTATGAACCTCACATTAAATAATATGAAATTAAGGAAAGTTTTCACATAATAACATATTCGGAAGGTCACATAATAACTTACAGTAAACGAATGAGGAAATATTGCGTGATACAACTATTTATTAATAAACTAAAATGCAATTTTCAAGGATATTATGCTTTATGCAAAATATTTGTGCACCTTGATTCATCATTTATTTTTCTAGTATACTGTTATATTATTTTGGGAGGCTTTTAAGAGAATCAAAACCTTTTTGTAAATATATATATATATACAGGCCTATCAACTGCTAAACTTTTTGGAAAATATTTCATAGAGTGGTAGATAAAATTCAATGCTTTCGGAATTTTTGCAATCTGGTGTTGCAAATGAACTTTTAATATTTATATGTAGTGCAGTAAATAAGAAGTTTAAATGGATAAGAAATAATACAAATACATAGCTACTACTAGAATTTTACGATATATGTATATATATATATGCAATCTTTTGTTTACTTAAGATCTAATAAAAATTTGCACAATTAAAAAAATTGTTAGAAACTTATATTTTACTACCAGTAGAAGAATGTCCTCAAAACCATTTATATTTGAAGATTAGCAGATAAGCTAATTTCATTCCTGTCAACTTTTAATCCTTTCCTTTATGATTTTTCCCAGTGATATTAAAATTTAAATTTTAAGCAGAAAAATACGTTATATTTGAAAAAGAGTCAGCTGACAAGGCTTTAGCTGTGTTACTAGGATGGTTACGCATATTTATATATATTCTTAATTTTTTTAAGAATAGTGGTGCTCAAAATCATTTAGAAAATTAAGTTTATAAAAGGAAAAATGTATATATTTACTACCATAGGCGTAAAAGTTGAGAGGTATGTAATTTTAAACCTCATTGCTTGCCGACTGCACAGACTCAACACAAACTTAAATTCATGATGAATAGGTTAGGGGCCGCACTGCGGCCCAGGTGCTCAGATAAATTGCACGACTAGGATAAACTAACTTGCTTCGCTTTGAAACAAAAATATTTTTGTGTTGTAACGAAATTTGAGTTATTTTTAGTTTAGCCTTTTTATTTTTAAATAATGTTTCCACCACTACATCGTTACACGGAGAGGGAAACCACGAAGACCTCCCACAGTTAGCCTGATGGCAATTGAACTCTAACCCATGATCCGTCTACCACTGAGGATATTTTACGTCAGCACTGCGGTTTTGGTGCAAGCCGGATGTGGAATTCGTATCCACCAGCTATGGCTGGTATAACCTCATTGGAAGACGAACTCTCTATTCCCTCAGCCATCATGGCTCAGTTTCCCCCATTTGCTTGTTAGCTTTTTAAAAATAAAATTTAAACTTAGTTAAAAGAATAATCTGAAGCGCCTACTGTCGTGATAGAAAGTTTCCTCTGCCAGATTAATCACACAAAAAATAGCAAGGCGTATCCAAAACTGCATAAATATTTAAAATTAAATTAAGAGCTTAGTGGATGAAGCATGTGACCGCCTGATGAGACAATCTAGCGCGACCCACCGGCGTGAACGTGTTAAAATGTCTCATGCCATTTGACAAAAAAGAGCATTTGTGACATTGAATTTTTAAATTGATAGCTAACATACAGTGCACAAAAAATTAATACCTGTGGTAGGTAACTGTGCACCTAGGCCTGCTCGCACTCCTTTTCTCATTCATCAAGAACTTTGAGGATTATTTGATAGTACAGTAAGGTACTGAAATACAGGGAGGGGGTAGAATGGAACACTAATAAAACTTGGTCGTTGTCATAGTTTTAGAGATAAGAACTATTACATTTTCTGTTGTTTACAGAAAATAATTAGGACTGAATCCTATCACCCCTGAATTGATTTGTACAGAAAAAAAATGTCTGTTACATAAGTCTGTTACAAACAAATATCTTTACCCATGGTGCACGCAGTCAGTCGATTTTTCTATTTTTTAATGTACAGTGCTTCAAAAAAAACTGTCCACCCTGAATAACTTTTGTTCAGCTGATGGGATCTTCACATTCTATAGGATTCAATCTTAATGATTCGAGAGGATGACCTCAAATATGCTAATTAATTAGCACAGATAAGTATACGATTCCTCAGGAGCTATTCGGCCGATTTCGCTCAGATTTTATATTTTGTCATGTAAAATTACGTTCTTTAAAATGATGTAAAAAATTATATACCTTACAATTCAATTTTTTTTCCGACTTGTATTAAATGAAAGATTTAAAAATAATAAATATTTATTAAAAGTAATTTTTTGTAAGGAGATTATCTCTGGATAAACAAAATTTAAAATTGCGTGATCAAAATATTTTTTAAAATTCGCTTAAGTTCTAGAGATATAGCAAAACACTCAAAAAGTAAAATTAACATTAAGAAGTCCAAATATTAAATCACTTTCCTGACCAAACTATGGAGCTCATAATTCCCAGATTTCGGCTGACCCCCATATTTTGGGGATCAGAAATTCCAATCCGTCGAAAAAAATTATATTTATTCCGTAAAAGTACGCTTTTGTGTCTGATTTCGTAATTTAAAATGCGGTCTGCATTAACTAATTAGTATATTTGAAGACACCCCCCTTAAACCATTAATATAGAGTTTTAGAACCTGAATATCCGATCATTAGACCAAACGTTATTCCGGGTATTCCGTCTATTTATTTACTTTTTTTTGGCACTGTACAGTTGTGAGATCTCAAAAATTTAAAACGTTAAATTTTTCGAAGATTTCATTTATTGTCTACAATTATTGTACCCTTGGTCCATTTTCATGTAAAAAGTACTTTTATGAAAAAAGTAATGAATCTCCTTACCATATAAAATCAAGGTTACTTTAATTGACTTTTAGAAATTTAATAATGGTACATTTCATGTACATATACATTATATACATCTTACACACATATGATTTTCAAAAAAATAAAATCGACTACAACAGCATTATAGCTTTCTATGCAGATGACTCTGAAATTCTCAAAAAATCCCGAAATCCAAATCATGCCTTTCAAACATTACACGGACAAATATATGAAATAGAAGACTTGTGCAGTGGTTTTTGTAAAAGGAAATTATCCTTAAACTAACTGTATGGTTAACATATAACAATACTCATCTTAGCCTTATTTTGGTCCAATTTCAGGTCAGAAGACGTTCTGTCCAGTTATGGACGATTCTTTCTTGCTTCGATTTCTACGATGCAAGAAATACGATGTGAAAAAGGCCTTCATTACTCTGAAAAACTATCACGATTTCAAAAACAGATATTCAGGAACAATCACTGATAGGACTCCCTCAAAATTGAAAAATGTTCTTGAAATGGACTGCGTATTTTTGACTCCTAAAAGAGGTCCAAATGGAGAAGGCGTAGCAATTGTTTTTCTTGGTAAGTTCAATTTTAATTTAAACGAAAATAGCAGTTAAACTATTTTATGTTTACTCATTTTTGGGTGAATTATACTATTCGTCCCAACTTATTTTCTTTTTCTAGATTTGAACGTAAATAATCTGTGGCGAAACTTTTACATATAAATATATAAATACTCCCAGAAAAAAATATTCATTCAGATAATCTTGCATATCAAAAATAAAATTTATCATTAAGTATAACAGAACGCTGAAAAAACATATTCTTTTTTTATTAAAGATATAACATAGCAAACATAATTCATGTCTTTGAAATACTTGAAAAACGGAATCATCAATAGATTATTTTAAAACACTGGCTTCCGCTAAGCAAATGAGAAAAATTTATTTTTTAAATGATTCTGAATTTTAAATATAATTAAAAAACCAAGAATTGGGCCACAATGCTGATTTGAAATATCCTCAGTATTAGACGGGTCATGGGTTAGAGTCCCTTTGCAGCCAGGCTAACAGTGGGAGGTTCTCGTGTTCTTCCTTTCCATGTAACGCAAATGCGGGTTAGTTCTATCAAAAAGTCCTCCATGAAATCAAATTTCTCCCAATACCTGATAGAGAAGTTCCCTTGTTATCTAGATTGGGTGCAAAATTATATGCCTTCGGAGTTGAACATTAGTAATCGCTAACCCAAAAAATTGGGTCGGCTGTTCAACGATTGGTTATAATTAGTTCCTATTACCAAAATTAATTTAGCTTCATTGACATCAATATTAATTAATTGATTTTTAATGTTCTCTTAAGCGAATTAGTACCATTTTTCGATTTGTTTTCTTTTTTAGTACATGGTTCATTTTTTACTTCAACTTGTAACTTTTACCAAAATTTATTATCATTCACGTCAATAATAATATCGGCGTTTTATTGTCCACGAAATACTACTATTTTTAATAACTTAATTTTTTTTACGTTATTGTTGATTTCAAATTATTTAGTTTTATAAAAACCCGTTTTAAAAGTATAACTATAAGTAAAAAACGAAAAACTTGGTTTCAGATAATCTTAAAAATATAATCAGGTGACGTAGTCTGCTTGTCCTAGCGCGATCACGTTGATCTTTCAGATAACCTGGCATAACGGATAAAAAGTAATTAAATATTGCAGAACGCGCAATAGACAGCTTTTTTTATTGGACCTATACGCTGAGAAACACCACTAGTGTTATCTTTAAAATCTTTGACAAAACTGAATCGTCTAAAGCTTATTTTAAAACAATGGCCTCTGCTAAGCCAATGAGAAAATTCCATTTCTCAAATGTCTCCGAATTTAAAAATATGATTTAAAATCGAAAATCGGACTTCGTAAAAAGTTTTCAATTGTACTCATTCAGCCTCATATTGAATTTCATATTATTAGAGTCTAATGCTTATCCGCAATCCGGGATACAAATAAACACATTCTTTTTTTAATGTATACAGATTGTTTTAGGTATAAGATTGTTGTGTACTTTGTTTCAGGAAAATTTGATATTGAGAATCTTTCCGCATTTGAGCTTTACGCTGCAACATTTCTATGTGCGGACATTGGAATCGAAACTGAAGCATCTCAAGTGTGTGGAGGAGCTCTTATATTTGATTTTCAAGGAATAACTTTAAATAAGTTACGACACTTTTCAAATCCATCCTATCTGGCATGCTTAGTAAGAGGCATTCAAGTAAGTACACTATTTTAAACTGCATCTGCATTGATCAAATATTGCGATGGATTGTTTATGTCTAATATGTTCTACAAAAAAATTTATTAAATTTTTGTTTACGGAGCTTAGTTTGGTGGAGGGATTCTGGACTACTTATTGTACCAGCCGTAAGGAAAATGTTAATATTCGTGTGTCTCTCTTGTATTTAGAATTTCTTTCCTTATCGCTTACCTGGTTTTCATATAGTTCACAAGCCATCATATTCATTTATTGTAGTTAACGAGTGCACTTATTGAACTATCCGTAAGCAAAAAGTTAATATCAGTTCATATAGTTCACGAGCCAAATCATTAATTCATTTATTATAGTTTATGAGTTCATTTATTGTAGCAGCCTTAAGCAAAATGTTAATATTCGTGTCTCTCTCTTGTGTTTAGAATTGCTTTCCTTATCGCGTACCTGGTTTTCACATATTTCACGAGCCATCATATTCATTTATTGTAGTTAACGAGTGCATTTATTGTACCATCCGTAAGCAAAAAGTTAATATCAGTTCATATAGTTCACGAGCCAAATCATTCATTCATTTATTATAGTTTATGAGTTCATTTATTGTACCAGCCTTAAGCAAAATGTTAATATTTGTGTCTCTCTCTTGTGTTTAGAATTGCTTTCCTTATCGCATACCTGGTTTTCACATATTTCACGAGCCATCATATTCATTTATTGTAGTTAACGAGTGCATTTATTATACCATCCGTAAGCAAAAAGTTAATATCAGTTCATATAGTTCACGAGCCCAATCATTCATTCATTTATTATAGTTTATGAGTTCATTTATTGTACCAGCCTTAAGCAAAATGTTAATATTTGTGTCTCTCTCTTGTGTTTAGAATTGCTTTCCTTATCGCATACCTGGTTTTCACATATTTCACGAGCCATCATATTCATTTATTGTAGTTAACGAGTGCATTTATTATACCATCCGTAAGCAAAAAGTTAATATCAGTTCATATAGTTCACGAGCCAAATCACTCATTCATTTATTACAGTTTATGACTTAATTTATTGTACCAGCCTTAAGCAAAATGTTAATATTCGTGTCTCTCTCTTGTGTTTAGAATTGCTTTCCTTATCGCATACCTGGTTTTCACATGGTTCACGAGCCATCGTACTTCAGTATGACATACAGTATAGTTAAGCCGATGCTATCTAAAAAGTTGAAGGAACGAGTAAGTAACAGATTTTACAACTAATATTGTATTATTTATTAGTTTCAACCTTTTATAGAGTTGCCAACTATTACGCACTTTGTGATATATTTAATATAGTGGTATAGACGAAAAAACTAAAGCTTTCTGAATTCTGGTAATTATTGCTGACATTTTAAGATCCCTGCAACACAAGATTTGAGCTAAAGTGGTGCTTCATATGAACTTTTGAATCATTTACTTGTAGTGGTGTGAAAGCTAATTTTAAATCCAATTTACAAAAAAAAAGAATGATGTATTAAAGTTCTTACTTAGCAGTAAATCTTTTTCCAAAATATCTCAGATAGTACACAGTTCTGCTTTTAGCTCAGCGTCACTCAAATTTCGGTTTCAAATTTTAGTCAGGTAACAAATTAGCAGCAGCGCCTTCAGTCAGTGCATAGCTGCCAACCAGGAAATTCTATCTTTTCCAGAATATTTGGAGTGGTTGTTAAGTAACAATTTAAGTTAAACTTAATTTGTTTAATTTTCTCAGCACTTAATGTTTAAATCGTTCTTTATGTTGAGGTGGAAAAAAATCCTCTTAAATTCAATTTATTAAATTTATATCATAAAATTTAATACCATTTAGCACAAGGAGAAAAAATGTTCCGATAAACCCAGAGATGTCAACTGCTTCAATATTTTTAAAAAGGTAGAAAACTGCAATCTAAATTTCGCCAATTTTTGAAAATGCCGTAATGAAACAAAAGTAGCAATTCATATAAGCCTTTGAATTATTTAGAAGTAGTAGTGAGTTAAAAACCTTTAAATTGAATTTACAAAATCAAGATTCCTGCAATAAAAGACTACCACTCGAAAACATTTATCCGCTGTCTGGAGCAAGCTGGCTCCTTCGTACACTGAAACAAGTTGGGGAGTGTTGGCGGTTTACTGAACTGTAAAAGACATCTGGGCACCTGAGGCCGCGTGTTGTTTCGATCAGGTGATGGAATGCAAATGAAGTAAAGGAATATTCATGTGGATAGATGACCATTGAGATTCTGACTGTGTAGTTATATGCAGTAGGGTGATAAGACTATAATATAAAAGTATGGACTTGAGCTAAGGTGATATGATGAAAGTGAGGTTATGTATATGCTGTTGGGAATATGATGGATCACTGCAATGGTGTGATGTTCTTGTCTTCAGTAAAATTTTCAAACAGGAATATTTCATTGAAATTTGTTGTAGAGCAAGAGGAGGTGACAGTTAATTTTGATTGAAACGGTATACTTTATCTTTTTGTTGCTTAAAGAATAATAGCAGAGATGCCAACTTGCTCCGGATAGCAAATACTTATTTTAAAGTGGTAGTTTATCAATTGTAATTCTTGGTTTAATAAATTCAATTTAGTAGATTTTTGTCCACCACTATTTCTAAATAATTCATAGGCTTACATAGTTCACCACTTTATAGAACATAAGTCATGTTATAGCTTTTAAAAAGCAAGCAGAAATAGTCAAATATTTCAAAAATTTACTTTGTAGTTATTTACCGTTATTTTAATTATTTTGGCGTGTCCGGAGCAGTTGGCATCTCTGTTATAGTAGCTACAAATAGATTAAAATTTAGAAGCAAATAAATTTACATTTGTAGTGGTTTGTAACATTTTTGGATTAGGTGTTACCAAACTGGCAACACTGAGCAAGATTTTGTTCAAGAAAGAAAAAAGTGATAGAACAGGTGTTTCACTGCTAAGATTAATTTTTCAGAAAACAGGTAACTCCGTCTACCACAATATAGTGTTCCAGCATATTTCTTTCTTTTGCGAGCGAAAATAAATACGGAATTGATTTCTTTCTAAATATGAATAATTAAATATGTATAAATGAATTGAGTTTCTACCTCTTCTTACACTTCTAGCTGCCCATGGAAGCCCTGTAATTGGGTTAAACACGACGTTGCGAACATTATTAACACGTTCACGCCGGGTGTTGCGCCTGAAAGCAGGACGGAAAAGAGAAAATTCTGGTAGAAGAACTGTTTCAATATTAGATAATATTCGGGAGGAGTTAATCTATTCTCAACATTAACAATTCACAGTGGAGAAATTTATCACGGCGAAGAAGCAATTCAATATAAAAATTGCATCCGTTAAAAACAATTGATAGTTATGGATTTTTATTATTCCCGGGAAAAAACTAAAAAATGAAATTTATTTGTTACCAGTTTTTACTCCGGTGCGCCGCCCGATGAGACAATCTAGCGTGACCTACCGGTGGGTAACTCCGGCGTGAACGTGTTAACATAGTAGTTGGCAGCATCGTAAAAGAATAAGAAAAAATTGGCAGCCGGAATGGCACAGGTTACTAAAAACGTAAAAGAAATGGTAGAAACTAAGCTCAGTTTAGTTTATTTATCTCATAAATTTTTTTATCGCATGATTCACAATTCAAATTATTAATATTTATAACAAAATTATTATTGAAAAAACTTTCAATAGTAAACTGAATGACTCTGCAAGGAAAAATTGTTTACATATATACCTTCTAATAAAAGTTTGAATTTTATTAATCACCCATCTTTGTATTTTTAGTCCCCTTTGGCAGGAGAACAATAATACTTTTCATCACATGATAGTTTGTAACTGAAATGACTACCAGGTCATGTAATTGTTAACATAAACTGGATTTTATGTATTTATTTTAAATAAAATACTTTACGTCAAATCTTATATTTTCTGCGTTAAATATAAAGATATGAATTAAGAGTGGTATTTTCATAATATGAGGTATAGTTCGTTCACCAGGAGTTGGCACTTGGCTCCACCTCCTCGGAAGAAGAGTTCATTTCAGCGCGGAATAAGAGGAGAAGCGTCTCCGAGCTTGAAATTGAAACAACCCTGAATGCGCGCCAAACTCAAACAGTGAATTATTTTTCAGTCACTTCGCTTTGTCATCTGCCATTATACCTTTCGTTACTCTAATTAATTAAATATATTTTAAATTTAGAAACTGCTGTTTTCCAGAAAAAGGTCTCAAAAAGGACAAACTGTTCACTTAAAAAAGAGAAATTTCAAATTTATGAAATATTTAATGTTAAAAAATGCACATGAAGATTGCGAAATAAATAGTTTTGTCACACGATCGCCATATAGCAACCTTGTTCAGGATTGCTCCCATTCTTCTTCCAAAAATAGCGAAATAGTATCGCCGGATACCACGTGATGAAGGCGGATCCAAGTGCCTACTCCTGGTGAGCGAACTATATATTTAGTAATTTATGTATTGTGTATTTCATATCTTTATTTCTAGGTCCACTTCCACGGTAACGACTTATCAAGCTTGCACAAATTCTATCCTCCGGAAATTCTGCCCAAAGAACTAGGAGGTCACTTAGGCGAAAAAGAATTCGAAGAATTCCGTACCTATATTCTAAGTAAAGAATCTTTCATAGAAAAATTGAATAAATACGTCTACAATGGACATGATTCATTTTATGATGAAGAGGAAAACACAAGACGTAAAATCCGTCTTCAAGAAGAAAATCTAAAAAACTTGACTTTATAAAATGACATTTGTTTTTTTAAAAAAAGCAAACGTTTTACGGTACTCGATTAGAGTCAAGCACCTACCTACTTTATATTTTATACAAATTTACCATTTCATTTCTACAATATAGAAGTTTGAAAGTTACATTCAGGTAGAAAGTGAAAAGGCACAGAATGTGAGACACTGAAAAAGGCACAAATGAGGCAGTAAAGAGGCATGAAAATGAATTGTTATAAAATTTTGAACATTATTAGTCACCACATGTTGTATTTTTAGTGGTTCTTGGCAACCCTCTGTAAATGTTACAAATAATCAACTAAATTCCTGAAATTAACTTGAACATAAAGTCTATAAAATTTTCAACAATCTCATAAAGCATTTGTCACCACTTATTAATTTTTTTAGACAGTGGCAAGTCTGCAAACATTATAAAATATAATTTTATGTTTTAATTTTACTACCACTTTTTTATTCAAGTAGAAAGTATTTGAATTTTTTATATTGAATTGTATGAAAATTATATTGTATTTGCAATATATAAGGGTTAAATAATGTTGTAAATTTGATTGTTTGTTGTTTAACCTCTTTGAGACGGGCGAGACATAATCAGAGTAGTAAAAGATACAACTGGTTGCCCAACTATTTTTATAGCAGTTTATTTGAGGGCGGGGTAATAATAGTTGGCTCTATTTAATTTGCCACTACTTATTCCTATTAAAAATTGTATAGTTACACTTTTAACACACACGGATTGAATGTGTTAGATTTAAAGTTTAAGTAAAAAATAGTCTGTCAAATTAGCTATGCCCGAACTTAAGCTATCGCTTTTTATTTTTTACTATTCTGATTTCATACCAATACATTTGTGTCTCGTCCGTCCCGAAAAGGTTAAAACAAATTTGTTGTTTTTTATATCGATTAATGAATTAAAATATTTGAAAATTCATTTCAATAGGAAATAAATGTAGTTTAAATCTATGGTTATTAATGATGGAGGTTAAGATCCTGCAATTTTGTGACCAACGGCATGTTTGTGTCAATGTGGTCCTTACTATTAATTAATAAAGTAAAATAGTATTTAAAAATTGCATTATGTATGCCTGTTTCTTTAGTACAACTTTATTTATTTGTCATTAATTATGACTTCATATTTATTTAATTTATATAAGCTGAATACGTTATGCATATTTACAAAATACCTCGACTATTTATATATCTTATTTAATATGTCGGATTCATGATGTGAATTTAACAGTTAAATTTCTGTAATGAAATTTTTGTGATGTTTTGTTTATTTGTTTTATTATCTGCTTGTACGTAGCAAAAACGTGTATGTTGGTTCATAATAAACTATTATATTTGTTAAAATTCTCAGCATTATGTTATTTTTCTTTTTTTAATTGGTGAGTTCAACAAGATAATTACAAATTACTGAAATGTTTAAACAATTATAAATTGTAAGTTATCAATAATTTTAATTACTATTAACTTTCAGAATAATGAAAAAAATTTCAAGAACTAAGTTTTTCATATAGGCTTGGAGAAAAAATTAATTTCGTTTTTGTCTACCTAAAAACGTCGAACGTAACGTACTTTGTCAACGTAAAATGTTCGACGCATAATTTCGGCTGGAAAGATTTTCGGTAGTGATCGAAGTTAAATACGCAAGTGACGCGTCCCACGTTTTTTGTTTTAGCTTCGACAAAAAAAAAATTATATTCCTTTTTTTTTTAGCTCACTTGAAAAATAAAAGTTTTTTTTTCAAATTTTCATTTTATTTATTTTATTTTCCTCTTTTTAGCTTTGTGACTTTTTTTTCCTTCTATATTGGGACTTACTCAAATTTCAGTTGACCATAAGTTTTGCTTGCCATAGGTCTTATTTTCAGAAACAACCGACGTACTATTTTTTCTTTGCTCCTCTTTTTCTTTCCCTAATATCATTAAACTGCAATTTTGTTTTACTATTGAAATATATAGTATACTATGTACTTAAGCTATAGAGTATGCACTAAGCATACATTAAAATACTTATTGTATATAATATATGCCAATATGAATGCAAAAGAAAAAAAAATTTATTGATGAGTATTGCACTATTACGTAATCCATTTTAACAGTAATGACCTTTTAAGACCGAACAGTAATCGTGATAGACCTCGGTATCAAACAAATGGTTTTGAGTAAACACGTTCACGCCGGAGGGTCACGCTAGATTGATTGTCTCATCGGGCGGCGCACCGGAGTAAAAACTGGCAACAAATCAATTTCATTTTTTAGTTTTTTTTTCCGGGAATAATAAAAATCCATAACTACCAATTGTTTTTAACGGATGCAATTTTTATATTGAATTGCTTCTCCGCCGTGATAAATTTCCTTACAGTGAAATGTTATTGTTGAGAATAGATTCTAATGTTTAAATAGTTCTTCTACCAGTATTTTCTCTTTTCCGTCCCGCTTTCAGGCGCAACACCCGGCGTGAACGTATTAAAACCTAGGACTTTAGGACTCCATGGTTAAAACATACCTTTTCTGCTGAGTTTACATTTAAAAAAAAAATCAACTTTCCATTTCTCTAAGCTTTAAGACCGTAAAAATATACTTTACACCAATTTTTCCACCACTTATAATTCAGTATGTCATTTGTTATTACCATACGCTCTGATGAAATACGTTTGAATTAAATTGGTGACATAATGCAGATTTCAGGGAATGTATAAAAAGATTATTCTTCCGTGGAGGTCACAAAACATTTTCATTGGGTAAGTATTATCATTATACTTTCAGGAGTTTCAGTCCTGAAAATTAATCGCAACACCAAGTTTAATTAATTTAAAAGTTAGTTTCTGCAATACTTAAGGCTATTCTCCGACTAATGTCATTACAAGTCACTTTTGGCTAGTCACACTCAGTTACTGACTTGCGAAACTCAGTTTTTCACAATCTTAAGTACATAGATTCTTGTATTCGTATTCATAATCGTAGTTCTGAGAAATAGAATTTTAAAAGAAATCGTATATTTAAAATTTGATTTTTCTCAAATTCTTCTCAACTGATCAACGTATTTTATTCAAATTTTGTATTTTTCCTTAAAACATTACATCATTTTAAATTGTGTAAAGATTTGTGCACTTTGATATTCAGACATTTTTCGACAATGGTAAAATGAAATATTTCATGCATGCAATTATCTTTGTGTTCACATGAACTTTATAACTAGCTGCAAAAATCTTTCGATTCGCTTAAAAAATTAACGAGATCGATTCTGCGTAAAAAGTAAAATTTACGTTAAAGGTTCCGAAAATATTCGAACCATATTTTCCTGATACTCCCAATATTTTGAGAGTCAGACGTATCCGTCGAAAAAAATGGTATGCAGAGAATGTACGTTTTTGTGTCCTAGAATTTAAAGATCCAATCAAAAGTTTTTCAGATTGACATGTTTATTTTTAGCCCAATGTACAATGCGTTAGTTAGTGCAGACGATGTTTCAAGCTACGAAATCAGACACAAAAACGTACATTCTCTGAATATACGTATTTTTTTCCCGACTGATTCGGATTTCTGACCCCCGAAATATAGGGGACAGCCGCAACCTGGGAAATATTGTCCCAATAGTCTGGTCAGGAGAGAATTCAAAAGTTTGGACCCTTAATGTTAATTTTACTTTTTGTGTATTTCGCTATATCTCGAGAACTTCTTAAGCGAATTTTTTGAAAAGTTTTTGCACGCAATTATAAAGTTTGCTTATTCAAAGATGATTCCTAGCAAAAAATAAATTTTAGTAAATATTTATTACTTCATTAAATGATAGTCGAAACACTTTTGAATTTTAAGGTGTAATTTTTAAAGTATGGAATTTTACATGGCAAAATACGAAATTCGAGCAAAATCTATTGAATAGTTTCTGAGAAATCAAAATTTCTAACTTTTTTGAAATTCAATATCTTAGGAACTATTCAACTGATTTTGATTAAATTTTGTATATTGCCGTGTAAATATATTTTGTTAAATGATAAAAGAAATTGTCCAACCCTGCATTTCAAAATTCTTTCGACTATTATTAAATAAAATAATAAATATTTTCTAAAATTTATTTTCTCCATTTAATTATCTTTGGAGAAACGAATTATATAATTGCGTGCAAAAAGTTTTTAATTCGCTTATAAAGTTCTTTTGATAGCGAAATACACAAAAAAATACAATTAACATTAAGTGGTCAAAGCTTTTGACCGCTCTCCTGACCAAACTGTTGGGACCATATTTTTCAGATTGCGGTTATCCCCTATAATTTGGGGGTCAGAAATCCAAATCCGACGTTTTTGTGTCAGATTTTGTAACTTAAATTATCGTCTGCAGTAATTAACTAGCATATTTACGGTGATCCCCTCGAACCAATAAAACTGAGTCCAAGAGTGTGAAGATCCGATTATTAGATCAAAAGATATGCTAGGTGGTCCTTTTTTTTGGCACACTGAAAGTCTCCTTTTTATGTATTCAGTGTAAAATGTGTGCCTTGGTAGTTAAATGGTGCCACAAATAAATTTTGATAATCAAAGTCTGAGGATAAGAAAGCTATGATTTCATGAAATTTTGAATGTCCTTTGCCTGTGCACAAAGTTCGAACTAAGAAAAAAATTTTCGTACTAGTTACTGTGGAATAACTAAAATACAAAGTAACTGTTAATGCCGTGATACACTCTTTGCACAAAAAGTATTACCATATGTAAATTTATGCTTTTTTAAATACTAAAGGAAAGTTTTCAACCAATGGGTGTTTCCAGTTGCTAATGGTTATTAATCGAGCAGAAACTTTAACTCAGTCTACAAAGAACTTAAAACATTAAAAAAAAAAAGCATGGAAAGATATTTATTCGTAAACTCGAGAAACATAAACAAAGCAACGAGTGAAATTTTTTTATGCCAAAATGAGACTTACACACGTTTAAAATGAGAATGGGCTGGCCATATGGCTTAAAAAAACTTACAAAT